CAGAACAATCAAATTCCAACGGACACTGAACAGATTTGCAAACTGAACGTGGGGGATTATCACGTCTTAGTTTCCAGTTCAAAATTCTTCACGATGGATTGGAAAAAATTTTATTATAAAACAATTAAGAATAAATACTCCTGTAAGAAGTGTCAGGCAGTGAGAGACGATCAGCTGATGATTGAGGATCATGTTTGGATTATGCATTGCGGGGGAACATTCCAGTGTCCTCTTTGTCCGGGATCAACACAGTTCTTTTTTGGAAGGAACACCATCAGGACACACATACGACAAATTCATTCGGACACGAATCCCTCCGAGAACTAAACTCGCTAGGAGATCGTTTTTTGTTTATTTTTCCTCTCCAGGGAATTATCTTTCTGAACTTTTCGAGACTTTTTGTATTTTATTTTTCTCTATCAAACTCACAAAATCATCGATGACTATTGAATCGTCATGTACGCTGGATTTTTATTTCTTCATCGATTTTATATCAAGGCTAAACCGCAATTCTATGCTGTTATCCAATACGTTACAGTAGTAAATTGAATTTTTGAATTTAATCATCTTGTTATCGAAATTCAATTCTTCAATTAACCTCTTATTTTATTTCACTTCGATATTTTTCTTTTAGCTGAAATGATTATTTCGATTATTTCGACTCTTCGGAGAGTCGAATTTCCAAGAATGATCGTGGGGGCGCCACCTTATGGTACGACATTCTTTGGAAATTTTTCCCGAAAAGAAAGTTTATCAGTAAAAAATTAAATCTACAATATTTTATCAATTCGATTTTGAATAGGACATATGAATTAATACACTACATTTTCATTCCTGCCGTCAGTCCTCGTATTGGATCTCGGAAAATCTCTCAATCTGTTCATGGTATTCATCTGTTTGTCTCAGCATTTCCCGATAATTTGGAAATTCCTCGATAAAGAATATTATTTGTCATTGTACGATATCGAACTCAGACGTATCATAATCTTCAAAATAAAAAGTGAGTATCAAAAACCGATGAGAGAACGTTAGAATCACGGGATTGGAGGTTATTCTGTGTTATCTACATGTAATTGAGGACAAAAACGCGAAATTCTTCCAGATGACTGAGAATTCCATTGGAAATCACGAGCCAACCCCCAAACGCCAGAAAATCGATTCAATAAATCCCTCGACGCCAGAAATTCGCTCTCCACGTACATCAAAATGGGAGAGTTCCTGTCTGATAAGAGAACTTGAAGTTTATCGAACGAGATTATCCAACACTGAAGTTGCTATGGGTCACCTTCAAAAGATGAAAGAGGAAGTGGAGAGAGCATTTCTCGAGCGAGAGCAGATGTTGGAGATGCAGCTGAGAGTTGAGGGGGACACGATGAGAAATCTAGAGGATCGACTCGAATTGGCGAAGAGGGGCTGTGAGGAAATATGCGAATCCGAGGTCACTGTCGAGGCTGAATTTTTTTCCAGAGAAACGAGGATAAGGGAAAAAATTGAATCGCTCTTCAGTGAAGATCCCACACTGAACAGGAATGCGTTGTTCTTACAGACTGAGAAGATTGAGAATGTTGAGGGGCAGATGATGAGGATGGAGATGAAAGTCGACGGAGGATTAAAAAAAAATATGGGAACTCATGAGTCCCAAGGGCCTGGAAGAGAAGGGGTCGATCATTCTGAGATTTCTCGAGCTGATGATTTAGGGAATAATAATGCGATTCTTCTGGCACGTGCTAGGGAACTGGAGAAGCAACTGGAGTCGGCGAAGAATACTATTCTGACATTTCG